ATCGTATCTGCTTGTTAATTTTCTATCAATATCGAAAGACAAACGCGGTAGTTAATTTAAAAAAATATAATTGAGTTAAATATTAAAAATGAAACGGTTTTAAGGGTGGATTTTTTTTAATTGATATTTCTTTTAAAAATATTTTATCAAATATCTGTAATAATTTATTTTTTTAATATGATTATTAAATGTATATTATCAGTGATTAGTGTCAAATTTGATCAAACTCTGTCAGTATTTTAATGAAATTATTTCTTCTACCTAATGATTGTTCTTCGAAGTGTCATTAGGATTAAACGATCTTAAACACACACACACACACACACACAATTTTTTGTTCAATTTAATAGAAATTAATAATATTCTTCCTCATCAATTAGAGTTATTTTTTTAATCTAATGGAACAATTTCTTGAGAAATACTTTTATATAAAAAATTTCATTCACTTTTTCCATTAATTCCAAGGGGTACCATTAGTATTAAACGATCTTGAACTAATCGTTCCAATTTAATACACATTATTATATTTATCTTATAAATTACGTTTACATATAACAAACATAATTATTCTTTTTGTAATTTTTTTTTTTTTTAGTTTTCATTAAATATTGTAGTAGTGTAAGTTGGTAATGGAAAATTAATATTAGAAGGTGTAAATGTATTCGTGTGTCTTTTAAAAAGCAGAATGCGCGTGTCCACCTTTCGTGCAAATTCGCACAAAGGACACTAACACATTATTACAGGAAATAATGCGTCCCGCCCTGACCGTGAGCCTTACCAGTAGAATTGTGCATGGGGTGTGCACGCAGCCGTGATGCACGTTAAGTAGGTGTACGCGGCTTTGGTCTTTCTTTAGTATATCCATGGAGAGCGTTTACCAATACTCGGAGAAAGGTTCTCACAATCAGCGTATAATCTGAACGTACCTTAGACCTTTCTATACGGTGACTACAAAAAAAAAACCCCATTCATTCGAATTCTAATATATTCCTTAATTTTACATATTTACAAACAACATCTTACGGTGCAATTAAATTGAAACGCATATACCTATATATAGTATAATAATATAATATTATTTAATTATTTTTCAATAATAAAAATATATGCAATAGTGTGTTGTTAATATAGTAAAAAATATATTTTGTTACTTTTTATAATAAATAAAGTAAGAGAAAATAAATTTGTAACCAAACGAGATTCTAAAAATCGATCATACAGATAGATTAAAATATATATTTAATAATATACAAGAAATTTATATTAAAATAGTATTTACAAAAAGAAAAAGACACGTTTTATATTACACACACCAAACACTTTACTTTATAATTCATTCCAAGAATCAATTCTGATTTATTTCTAGATTCCAGTCACGTAACTTACATGAATAACATAAAACAAATGTATCTCTAAAAGAAAGAAAGAAAAAAAAAGAGTTAAGTAAAACAGGAGGGAGGTGTTAAAACGATCAAATAGGTTTTTTTGTAAGTCACCCTATATGCACAGGTATATACACAAAAGTGTTCAGAATCGTGTGTGTACGCATAGAGAAACGACCACGCACACATGCGTTATAACAGTCGAACGCACACGGTAAGAGAACAGTACAAACCACGACGACGGAGTTCTCTTTCAGTCCACGTCGAGACCTCGTACGGCGTACACAACACGGGTTTTAAGTGCTTTTCCAAATATTTTCTATTAAAACTTTTACCTGTATACACTCTAACGACATATATTTTTCTATTATATAACTCTTACATTTATTTACTAATTATTTGTTTCTTTTTCTTATATGAAAATATCTGTTGAATTAAAAAATAAAACCATAGTAAGGAAGAAGGAATACTTTAAAGTGCTTGGATACACGTTCCTATCGTTTGCTTCTTCCTGTATACAATATACCGTTTATATGTATATATACACTTTATATATTCGATAATATATAAATGGAAACACGAAAGGATCTATCGATCGGTCGATCGATGATCGTGTGAACCATAAAAGAAGTTTTACGTTTCTACGGTCTCACACAGTCGTGAGAATCCTTATTCATCCTCTTTTCTGTATACACGCGTACTCACACATAAACACGCACATACTCGTGTGAGTAGCAAGCAAGCAAGCAAGCAAGCAAGAAACCAAGCAACCAATCATTCATCGAGTACAATACTCTTCGTAACCAAGGATGCTCGCATACATCGTCGGATTTTTTTACTTTTACGCGGAAATGTTAAGACTAGAACTTCAAATGATGTTACACAGTGAGGATTATAAGCTCTCCAAATTTTTATTCGGTTGATAAATGATAGTTAATAGTAGTAGTCATAATAGTAGTAGTGATGATGATGATGATAGTGTTTGGAAATAACTCAATGGCTTGTTTGTAAAAGAAGAAGAAGAAGAAGAAGAAGAATCCTAAGATTTGAAAAGAAGATAACATTTACATTTGAACGTTGAGAGAAAGACTCTTCCTTCCTTGCTAAAATTACATTCCAAAGATGCTTTTGCTAGAACCAATCCTCTTATCGTTGATCGTACAATTCTGAAGGATCAACGATAAGAGACTACTCTTATCGATATTTTTATATAAACACGTGTGTTGTCTTTATAACCAACGGATTTCCTATAATCATCTATACTGATACTACTATTCTAATGAAAAATGGATTACACCATTAACAGTGAAAGTAGATAACTGTTATATAGTGATTGGATATTTTTGTTCATTGGTGATTAAAAATTCGACTTACGCTGGTCGTAAAAATGCCTACTCATAGAAAACATATTTAAAAGAACGCGTTGACAGAAGTAAACAAACATTATACAAAGTAATGCAACTTGGAAAACGTGTATGTATAATATAAAAAGTATTTCGTAAACCCGTATACGTATATTTGATGAAAGTGTCGATAAAATTAAGAAAATAAACTAATAATTAAATAATTGATCAATTAAATAAATATTATACAAAGTAGGATAAGCAACGGTACAATATATACCAAATAAATTGTGATAGGATTAATAAATAAAAATAGAAAAATATTATATAAAGAAGGAGGTGCAACAAAATACAATGAAAGGGTTGATACAATTAACAAAATGAACACATTAAAGTAATCAATTAAAAAGTAAAAAATTGAACAATGAATAACGATGCAAAAGTGTTGATACAATTTACGAAATAATAAAGTAAGTGATAGATTAAAAAGCATAAAAAAAATAAAAAAGAAAAAAGGCCATAAAGCAAACAAATCATAATAGAAAAAAAAATAATTAAAGAACTATAATAAGCAATGTGAAATAATTTAAATTGGAAAATAATGATGGAATGAGCAACGTCCGGCTGTTGGATCTAGCAACGAAGAAGACCTCGGCAAAACTGTGAGATATACCAAACAACACGTCGGGGACGAGAAGTGAAAGTGCATTTTGCAAGATGACCGTAACGCCGGATAACGATGCGATTCGTGTCCGGCGTCAGCGAGGACTCGACAGTGGACTCCCATCGTTCAACGCTTATGCTAGTATCCTATTCATCTCTTCGTCATCATCATCATCATCATCATCATCATCATCTTCTTCTTTTTCTTCCCCTTTATCTGCTTCTTCTTCTTCTTCTTTTTCTTCTTCTTCTTTTTCATCTTTCACTTCATATCATTCGAAATGTCAATAAAATAACTTTGATTCTACGTGACTCGTACAATTTAAAAAACGAAAAGAAAAAGAAGTTAAAGCTCAATAGCCAGTGTCAATTAAGTGATTCTAATTAAACTTTGTAAGTGACATTGGTGGTGGTGGTGGTGGTGGTGGTGGTGGTAGTTGTGCCGCCATCCTACGAATGATCCAAACGATTACGACAATAATAATGATGATTACTATGCACTGAATTTGATTTATTGTTTTTTTTAGTGAATAATTCATTTTCAATTCTTTTTTTTTTCCATTTGTGCGTCATTGTGTTTTCGTTTGTGTACCTAATGGTTCTACACTTCTCAAGATCACCAACGGTCTTCCACAACGAAGAACTGGAAGAAAAAAAAGGGGAAGAGGAGGAGGAGGAGGAGGAGGAAGAGGAAGGGTCACGACACCCCCTCCTTTTTAAAAAAATCCTCTATTACCATTATTATCATATCCATAAACGTGGGAGAATATGGAGACTATTTTAAATTGTAATTACTATTGGGTCATTGTGTGTGTGTGTGTGTGTGTGTGTGTATTACAATTCTCTTTAATTTTTTTCTTCCTTTTTTTTTTCTATTGAAGTTAACCAATAGGAATTATTATTCGTTATCACGTAAAATTATTTTATTATATACGTTGAAAAAATTGCCATAAAATTCATTACATTATTATTTGTTCTTTTCCTTTCATTTCTCGTTCCCCGTGTACGCGCGCGTTTGTGTGTGTGTGTGTCGAGTAATTACGCTTGGTTAACCGTGTACGTCGACGTGTGCGGTAAATTATAACGGGTTTGGACAAAAAAAAAAAAAAGATTAATTACAATAGTTACACAGAATTCTTCATCTTATTATTTCGTCAAACGATTGTGTGTATCTTGATTAAAAAAAAAACAAAGTTTATCATTTTACTTTTCGTATTGCGATAATAACGGTCTGATCGATAAACGTGTGTCCGAACGTGTGTTTTTCTAATCGTAACGCTTATCGTTCTAAATAAAGATATGTTACTCTGTTTTCTTGTCTGTCAAAGTAGATAAGGAGTTTCCGTTTTGACGAGACTCACTTTTTCGACATTTGTACACCACTCTCTTTCTCTCTCTCTCTTTCTCTCTATCTCTATCTGTATGTATTTCTCTCTGATGTGAGTCATTCGATTCGATATTACGAACGACAGTCTTGCATTCTTGCGATAGTCCTTTTGATATAGGCTCATTTATGTTTACTGGATTTCTCTCTTTCTTTGCTACGAATTTTTTTTTCTTTTTCTTTTTTTAACGCGTTCTTCTTATTACATTTTTGTTTTGTTTATTTTAGATCTTAATTTGTGGAACAAGAGTATCAGTCAACGTTGGAGGAAACTCAGAAGACGATGTTCCGTACAGGAAACATCCGAACCACAGGAATCGTTGATACCTGGTGGTGGAGCTCAAGGTGTTATACACACTGTAAGATCAACCCCGGCTAGCAGGGAAGCCTCACCGGCTGCTAAAAGTCTTCAGGATGGTAGCTCGCCGAAAAAATTACTCCAAACTAGTTCCCTCAGACTGCCAGGTTAATTATTATATATAATTTTTTGTTTGTTTAATTTTAATAAATTCTTGAATTAGACTGTTTTATATTTACTATTAGATAATTTACTGTTTCCGTTGATATTTGTCATTGTCCAATATTTTTAAATTCCGAATTTGACTTTTATATTACGTTTAATGTGTTGAAACAATTTATTTTCGGTCAAACTCAGTTTTATTTTTTTTTTCAATATAATGTCAAAATATTTAGAAAAGTATAAGCCGAACATATTTTTTGATCCATCATAGTTTTTATTATTATGTAAATTACTATTATTATTTTGATTAATTCAATTTTATTTTTAAATTAAAAAAATCAACCGTTCATATATATTTGCTTATAATATATTTGAATTATATTTTTCTAGGCACTACGAAAGGCATAGCAGATATTCAAAACGTATTGCGAAGCAAATTCAGTAAGATAAATGCTGGAATTAGAAAAAGAAAAGCGCTGAGCGTGACCGAGGTATTTTCGCAGAAAGACAATGCTTCGAATTTTTATGTTCCGAGTCCGTTGACTTCATCGACTAGTCAAAGTTTCGACTCGTCTGAACGTTTCGATTCTAGCGAACCAACGTCCTTACCACCATATCCTTTCCACGATACATTAGAAACCTTAGCAGAGACTAGTGTACCGAATTCACCTAACTGCAAGAGTCCTTTGGCTGATGGTTGTCCAAGTTTCGGGTATTCGGAGAACACGCCCAGTTCTTACGATCATCAAATAATTCATGATAATCATGATAAAAAAGATGTTTACGAAAACGTGGTATACAACAATTCAACGTCAAGTCCCTCGACAAGGTCAAAGGTTTCACTATATCGAAGTAATTCAGAAAGTCGTGACAATATCAGACACCAGGATCATTCCTACGAGAACGTGCGTTTTCACAGAGGACACAGATCAGAAGTTGATTCACCTGGTAGTCCTTATTGCGATAGGCAAACCTTAGCAAGAAGTAATTCCGAGACGAGAGATCATCATTGTTACGAGAACGTACATTTTCAAAAGAATGGTAAAACTAGGAATCAATCGGATTCGTCTTTCGAAACTATTCATATACCAAGAGTAACCCCAAGAAAAAGAATCACGGATTTCAAGGTTGGAGGACAAGTGAGCAATTATTCGGCCGATTCAAGCGCCACCTCTATCGTTGGCAAGGATGATGGACCCTCCAGTCTTGGGACTGAGAGGAGTCCCGGGAAGAAGCCTACGAGGAGGTTGAATAGTCGAAGTGTGGCTAATATTCCTAGCTCATCTGGTGCTAATTTAAAGACTTGGCAAGTAAGTAGAACATTTTCTAATTGTAAAAGATGAAATTTGAGTCTTCAATGAAGTGAGTTCAAAGTTAAATCTATATCTTGAACCATGTATATTTTTATCGTAAAATTTACGTTTGAATTACCAATATAATATTTGTGTTTTTTATTAAGAAAACATTTCCGTGTTGCCAAAAAATGATTGAATTCTTTTTAACTATTTGTTTGATGTTTTACAGGGCGCTCAAGACACGGATGAAGGTCTGAACACAGATTCCGAATTGGAAGATATAGACGAGGCTGGTGAAGGTGAAGAATCAAGATTCTGTACGTTACCAAGGCCTGGTAAAAGTGGTGCATCCTTTACGATATTGACAGCCAGATTCTTCAAAGGACCTGGTCATAAGGGACTCGGTTTTAGCATCGTCGGTGGTACCGATAGTCCACGTGGAAATATGGGAATTTATGTTAAAACTGTTTTCCCTAATGGTCAAGCTGCTGATCTTGGAACTGTCAAGGAAGGTATGATCACGTACAATGTTTTTCAACCTGTCAAAGAGTGTACACAATTTTAATATGCTAAACCATCTATATAATTAATGTTGAAAAAATATATCAAGAAAGTTACAAAAATTGTTTATTACAAAAATTTCGGCCACAAGTATCGTCAAAATTTTAATGCGTTCAGTTGCAGTATTAAAAATATTGAAAAATCTTAATTAAACTCGTTTAATTAAAAAACAAAAAACCATTAATTGTATTATTGTTTCAGGGGACGAAATTTTGTCAATAAATTCGAAACCCCTTCACGGGATGACGCACGCCGAAGCAATTGCAGAGTTCAAATCCGTCAAGGCTGGAGACGTGGTTCTTCACGTTGGTCGTCGAGTTAATAAAAAAAAACGTGAATCATTGACGTTACCTCCGGTTGGTCCACCGGCACCTCGGCAACCGATCAAGTGAAAGAAAAATTCCAATAATTTCGGTTTTTTAAGTTGATCTAAAAAAACGTCGAGAAGTTTAAGTGATATTTTGTTGACTACCCTAATCTATTTGTAAGAGGAATTTTTTTCTAGGAACATTATCTTTTTTTAATTATAAACTGTTTTTCTTTGTATTTTTTTTTTATCATCAACGATGGCCAAGAATATTAATTGTTGTATTTTCTTTTTTTTATTATCGTACAAAGCAATAGCGTTTATTATTGCTGGCAATAATAGAGAACTGTGGCCACCACCCTCTCCCCCCCCACGTCTGTTTTGCGACAGATTTATGTAGAACAAAAAAAAATAACAAATTACCGTTGATACAACAACGACTGCGATTTATGCAGGCTGGAAGACTGTACGTGTGCTTTTTATTTTTTTTCTTTTTTTTTTTTTTTTATTAAATCTTATCGGAAAGTAAAAAAGAAATATTTAAAGCTTCGCGTTTGACGTAAATTTAGTAATTCTCTTTGTTTTAACTTTCCTTATGTGAATGATTTAATTAACTCGATCATTATTCTACTGAATAGTTCGTGGATGATTCAAAATGTTATTTTCCACGTGACTGGAGTTAATTATAACGACGAATACGAGTGATGCAAACCAAACGAATAAAAAAAAAAAAAATTACCATAAAATAAACATCAAATTATGATAACGACATGTAATCTTGAGAGACATACTAATCTTTAACGATCATTTATATATCGTCTATTTATATTCGGAATTATTAACGAAATCAAAGTTAGTATTTAAGAATCAAAGATCAAAATTAATGAAAACAAAAAAAAAATTTTGTCTCTTTCACTCTCTTTATCTCTTTGTCTCTCTAAATATTTTTTCATATATAGCTACACACACACACACACATATACTCACACATACATATCTTCATAAATTGACCTATCGTAAGAATTTAGAAAAAAAATATTTCTAAACGAAGAGATTCTTTTTCATACGAGCAATGAACAAATGAACTGAATGAAATACATTTGATTGTCGATCGTAATTAATTAAAAAACGGGGTTGTTTATTTTTTGATAAGGAAAAAACATCGAAGAGACGAGAGAAGAAGATTTTTTTTTTTTATAATAACTTATTAGAAAGATTAGCGAAAGAAATTATTATTTTTCGATGACGCTTTTGCGAAGCTATAAAAGTGGCAAGGAAAAAAGAAGAAACGATAAAAAAAGATTTTAAATGTACTGGGAGTGTGTGCAAGAATCCTACTAAACGCGATAAAATAATTTTTCTATTATAAAATTCAAAGTTTTTATTTTATTTTAATTGAATGCCGTATATACACACACACACACATCTTTTTGTATTTTGTAAAAATTAAATATTACGAACGTGTTATAAAAATATTGTAAACATTGGAAATCCAAAAAAAAAAACAAACAAATGATATAACAACGATCAAAATGAAACAATTGTTATATGTCAAATTCTTGCATGCACGTTGGAAAAAAGAATTACAAATGTATATCACTTGATTTTTTTATTTTACTGGAACCTGAACGAAACAGGACAGAAAAAAAAATATCATCGAGGAGAAAAAAGAAAAAAGTAAAAGAAGAAAACGCGCTTTAAAGCAAACTCATATGCGTTCGTAGGCGTATTTAAAAATATATGCAATAATAATTCTATGGAATTTATTTTTTAACGGTAGATTACGCAAAGATCGCCCAAAGATGAAACCCAAAAAATATTTTTATTACTAATGGAAAATAAATGAAAAAAAAAACAAAGAGAAAAAACATAGCGTATATAGAAGAAGGAAAAGAAAGGAAGAAGAACATAAAAAAAAATAAATAAATATCTTTATACAAGGTGTTTCAAAATACATGGACATAGTTTCAGAGATGGTTTATTACGGTACGTTAAAATAAAATTAAAAAATTTATAAAATCACATATACAACCTAATACGACTTTAATTCCAAAATTGTATTACATACGTTGTTGCATAATTTTCATAAAAAGTACTGTCGAAGTGATGACCATTTTTATTTCAATTTATACTTCTAATCGTCTTATCATCGATCTTCTTATTCATTCAAAAATTTTGAATTTACCAACAACGTGAAGTAAAAATCTTACTTGTAAATAGTTGAAACAAGTAGTCAGAAAAGTTACACGAGTTACTGGAAGACAAAAGCAGCTATAATTCAGCAAAGAAGATCGTATCAAGTTCATATGATTATATGATTTGTTTTTCCTTATTTTAGCATACTGAAATTAATTCTGAAATTACGTTCACATATTTTGAAACACCTTTGTATATGAATATATATATATATATATGAAATATATATTTTAAACGAAACGAACGCGAGACACGTTTATTTTAAAACGAAATATTGTTAGTATCTAGTCGACTTGTAATTATATCTTTTTCGAAATCTCTTCTTTTTTATATTCATATATATTATATAAATAAATATAAATATATAAAATTACGATTTAAGAGAAAAACAAAAAAAAAAAAAGGAAAAAAAACATACACTTATATAATTGGAGCGTTTACTATGAAAGTGGTGCAAATCTATTTCTAAAAAAAAAAAAATAATTGAGAAAAACAAATTCTCATTAATTATAAATAAAACGTAAAACACTTATGTTTTCTCAATTATTTTTTTGTTTTAAAAAATTAACTTATACCACTTTTGTATAGTAAACGCGCGCGCGCGCGCGCGTGATCCAATTACAAATATATATCTCTACATGGTGACATATATAAATAAATATAATAATTATATATTTCTTATACACATACATATACATTCTCCTAGATGATGTAATCGCATAATCGATCGAATATCGTTCATAGAATTTAAGGCGTCACTGATTGAAAAACTTCATGTTTTTACGATCAACAAAAATGAAGCTAAAAACAAATTTTGTTCATGAAAATCATTTCGTATGCTTTGTGATTCGGATTATGGGAAATATAATAATTAGTATGTAATAGCTATAGTAAGGTTGTTTTTTTTTGTTTTTAGCAATATGTACAATAATGATTCATCCTACCTTTTATTTCTTCACTATTTATAGATGACGATTACTGTGTAACACAAAAGGCGAGAAAATGATGGTCGATGGCATTGTCTTCCGAATAAAAAAAACAAACGTAAAAAAAAAAACACATAGCAACAACAAAAATATAAGAAAAAGACGATCCTCCTAGAATACAAATTGTCGTTCGATCGTTCTTTCATCTATACAGATGATAATAATAATATTAATAATAATAATAATAATAATAATTAATCAAACAAGAAAGCCCTTATATATATATATATGTGTGTGTATATATATATTTAACAAATTTTTTATTTACTTTCACATATCCCACGTTTGACTTATTTTTACAGTGCGAAAAAAACGGAAGAAAATATTGCTTTTGTGTGACAAAAATAAAGATATACATTAACATAATTATTCTATCGGATCTATTATGTATGAATAGTTAAAAATGAAGAACGAAAATAACGAAGGAGAAAGGAACTCAAAGCGAGCACGACGATATGTTATATTGTATTTTCTACTTAACGAACGGTGTCAAAAAAAAAAGAAAAAAAAAAAAAAGAAAAAAAAATACAGAAAATAAATAATTCATGATAACAACAAAAAAAATATAAATGTACTATGGGTTGTGTGTGTGTGGTTGAGAGAAAGAAGAGAAGAAGAAAGAACGATGACCTATTCGAGTATTCCCCAAGTCATATCACGTGTACCTTTTGTCTATAAATGTATGCACGTATGTGTATGATGCATGTACATACGCATCTGCGCATGATACGTTTGCATGTATATTTGTATGCATAAAGTCGAAAAAGAAAGTAGTTTTATCGTCACGTTTCACTTGAGGGACACTTTTCACGCGTTTAGTTGTCATACGTGTGTATATTTGAGTGCATGTGTGCGTGTGCGTGCGTGTGTTTACAAATATATATATATAAAAAAGATCGATGAAACCGTTAGTAGTAACGATTTCAAATGCGAAAGCAAAAAGAGAAATAGCGGGATCACAATTGAAAAGAGAGATCATACCGACTGAGCTGGCCGGCACAGCGTATTAAACGCGTGACACTTGTAGAAAAAGCGAAACAAAAAAAAAAAAGGGTTAACAATATAATGATCTCTTGAGATCGGCGAGGTGAGGAGGGAGGGGGCGGGGTGCGGGGACCAGGAGGGAGGGGCTTTTAATCGAGTTTAAGAGAAATTCTTTCACGGACGGTAACTTTGCCGGCAGATCGTAGATTAAAACAGCTTACGATCCACAGAGAAAGAGAAAGAGAGAGAGAAAGAGAGAGAGAGAGAGTACACTGATTATTTCGTGCACCTACTTTCTAACAATATCTAACATCTATTCCTAATGACCTGGCTCGATTCAGATCGGCATGATTTTTTTCGGATTTCTACTATTTTCTCGCGAATAGAAAAAAAAAGAAAAGAAAGAACAAAGAACGAACATAATTGAACCACCCACTCGTTTCCCATCGATCAGCCCAACAAAGATTAAAGAGCACAACGGACTAACGAACAACAAAGAGAGTGCGCTAACTTAAACAAAAAATTCTACTCATGGTTATCCCTCTTTTGACGACTCCTGTGTCGGTTGAATGAGAAAACTCGTTCAAATCTCGTTGACATGCTGATGAATGCTATAGGCTCTACCACCTCGCCTGGATTCCTTTGGTACGGTCAAACGTTGAAAGGAATCATCGATCGGCTCGATTTCTCCTTTTTTATCTGTTATTCCTCTTTCTACTGGTAAACCAACTGGTAAACCAACTGGTAAACCTACTGGTAAACCAACTGGTAGACCAACTGGACTGGAATAAACAAATGTCGTATGCGCACCATTCGCTTGACCAATTTTTGCGGATTCTTTTAATACGTTATCCTGTGCGCTGAGCAGTTGTTTGAATCGTTCGTCACTTTTGTCTGTTTGAATGTCCACCATATTCCGAGCAGATCTTGTCTGCTGGTCACCACTTTCTACTTGACGTTGTTGTTGTTGTTGTTGTTGTTGTTGTTGCTGTTGTTGTTGTTGTTGAGATTGTTCGTGGAATGGATTCCTGTTAGTGAAATTTAATCTTGGATTCAAATTTAATCCTAACCATTGAGAAAATAAAGCAAGTCCGTGTTCAGCACTAGCCGATACAGCTGCTATCAACTCGTCCGTATTGATGCCTTCATCTTCCTCTTCATCCGTGTTGTCCGTGTTCTCAGTCGTTTCGGCAATACTGATTAAATGTTATAATTAATTCGAAGTAATTATATTTAAATTGATCGATGTATCATATCATTACTTACGCGGACATTTCTATTTGTCGTACTGTCTGGTCAAAATTAAAACAACCCATCTGATAAGTGGCCTGAGGAGTACCCAACAACGCTGGCTCGATCACCAAACAACCATCGTGACCATGTTCAGCAGATCTAACGGAAGTGAATCTTGCACAAATTTGCGCCAAATCCGATAGTAGGTTCATGCATGTTGGTTTGTTAGCTGCCTCAGCTGTTTAAAAATATAATGAGATAAATTAATTAAATTATTATTATTTTTTTTTCTTTTTATTAAACAATCCCCGAATTATTTATTACAAATATACTTGCCTATCTTGATGGTCGCATTGTGCACCGGATTGTCGCCGTAGCTTAAATTCAATGTAATGTTTTGTTCCTTTTGCCTGATATTTACACAAGACGGACCACCGAGGTCCATTGTCACGGTTAAATTCAGGTCGACGCAACAGAGACAACCGGAAGTCTGGCAAAGACACTTTGATTGAGTTTGAGTCGATCTAGCTTCAGAATCTGGCAAGTCCCAAGAAAGCAATGTCTCTGTGAAAAAAAAATACGTGTGTATGTATGTTTATGCATAAAAATCGAATGAAAAAAACCTTGTTCAAGTTCTAATCTATACTTTTTAAATTTTATCGAGCTTATGCGTGATAATTAAAAAAAAATAATATATAAATATAATAATAATACAGATAGAATTAAATTTCTATCACGTCGTTACTTTCATGAATTACTCTATAACGGAATATAAACAAAAAGGTTTTTAATTAAAAAGCGTCAAAGTGTTACGCGTGACGTTACTATAATTAAGAAAGTTATTTATATTCTTAACACTTATATGGCAGCATGATACGTGCCAATAAGAAAGATGAAGATAAGGAAGGAAAAATAACCGAGCCGTAATTCTCACCGAACAATCCAGCTGATGAGACAACAGCGATGCTGACGAAAAATAGGAAAATCGTGAACCTGACCGCCATGTTGGTGGAAGAACCGATAAGAAAAAGAAATAGGAATATTCAATAGTGATGTTTGGAGACCAAATTTGATATTAAACTTGAACGATGACAACGACAACAATGACGACGACGACGACGAAGAAGAAGAAACGGCACGCTTGCGCGATACGCGAGGCTCTACTGGCTGGTGAGCGAGCGTCGAAGGATAAAGCTTCGTTCTGTTGGAGAGTAGAGAAAGAGAGATAGAGATATTAAAAAAAAAAAAAGGGAGAGAGAAAGAAGAAATAAAGAAATAAAAGATGGCAGGCAGGCAGGCAAGCCGAAAGAGATCCTGCCCGGCAAGGAAGTAGTTTAAATCTGGTAGCAAACAGAGTCAATGCCGGTTGACGATCGTCACCGTCGAACGAACGGTGATCCCTGTTAAAATAAGCTAACAGGATTGGTTGAGAGGACACGGAGGATGTAGAAGTGGCCCGCCATTGGCCGTGGCAAAGAATCTCATCTGGGTGACCGGGTGACCTCCTTCCGTTCTTCGAACACTAACAGGGAGGAGGTCTGGACTCTTTACTTGCTGCTCTTGTATCTTATTTCGATATCGGACTAAAAGTATTTACTTTTACTTTGACCAGAAATAGAGAGAAAGAAAGAAAGAAAGAAATAAATAAAGAACGTATTATTGGCGCCGATTCGAACGGAAATTATAACGGAATTATTTTACTTTCGCCATGTTAATTCCATTTAAAAAGAGCTGGCTTTGCTGCTCTCTTAATCTCTTTAAAAACTGTCTAATCTTTTCTTTTCTTTTTTTAATCGTAACAAACAAACAAACAAAATATATAATATAACAACACTCGTCTAATCGATAATAAACATGATGCAAAATGTGTACGTATATTAATGATCTTCTTTGTTTTCTATTTTTTTTCTTGTTTTTTTCGTTCTTTCGATTATTTTCTTCGAAATAACTTGCGTCACGAAACTCGTTTCTCTCGGTAGTACAATGACCCAGATATTACTGTCAGTTAGTTGGTTTACAGTTGGTAGGATGGTTTAATTAAAGAATCCTCGGGAGATGGTAGGACTTGTTTTAAAAATACACACAGTTCGGGACAACACGACAGTCCGTTTTCGAGTGGTTAACAGGCAAGAATCGTACGAACCATGGCCGAACAATTATTAGCCAAGGTAAACCACTACCGACCACTACTTTCTTCGACCTACTAACCGGAGAAAGGCCTAAAACACGATTCCATGGATTCATTTGTGAATTCCTTCTCGAACTCCTCAATCCTCACCCATCGTCGTCGTCGTCGTCGTCGTCATCCTTCTTCTGCTCATTTTAACTGACATTTCTTCTTGTTCTTTTTTTTGGGGGCTTTTTTTTCCTTTTTTGTTTTTTTTTTTTTTTCGATCGATCTTGCAGTTACCCTCCTTCGCTCTTGTGTTTCTTTTATTTCTTCATAAAGGAAAGAAAGATCGTTCGATTACGTTTTAATGTTTTACCTAGGACACGCGAGAAATCGTTGAAGATGAGATCAACGACACCAAAGATATTAAAAGATAACCGTGATCTTGATCGACGTTTATGATTACCTTCCTACTCTTTCTCTTTCTCTTTCTCTCTCTCTCTCTCTCTCTCTATTATTTTCCTTCTCTGTGTAAGTTGTTATTTATTCAGTATACGGACATCCTTTACGATTTAACTGCATCGATATGTACAACACGTTCCTTCCGCAGGACGTGCAACGTGTCTGCCATCAATTGCATTCTATTTATCATTTTCAAGTCGCATTAAAAATTATTCTCTAGATCACTGTTATTTAATTTTAATTTTCTAGACCATATCAATATTTTATCCAAGATATAATCTACAGGTTGGCTCAAAAATATCTTGATTTTAATTATCGATTACTCTACTTTGATATTTTTTAAGTTAACTTTTTATCAAATTGTAAATATCGAGATTAGTCTTCTTTAATATTTTTTTATGCTAATTTTTTGTTGTATTCAAATTACAGAACTAAAAACTTCGAGATTTCATCTTTAATTAACATATAATTATAGATAATTATAAGATAAATGTTAAATAAATTGTAAAATAATAATTTTTGAATACACTTTGCGTTGAATATTCTCTTTAACAGGTTTCGAGGTAAATAGGCGTACAAATTATACATTTACAATTAGTTAGCTTTTATTACATGGCAAAAGAAAAATTTCATTATCGTAATTGCGTCAGGATAAAAGGTACCTAGGCACATTCGATGAATATAAAATCGAACACCTGTTCAACGATCATCATACTCGCTACGCTATTCCGTAGCCTTTTTTCAATCGATATTATTTTATGGCGATAGGAGATATTGAAAAGTGGGACTCTCTCTACGTTGGTATTTGTGTCGTCAATAGAAATAGAAAATAAGTTGCTGTTTTTCATTATCTCGAATATGAAGAACGTAAAAACAATTTAAAAATAAATGTATAAATATTTTATCAAACTTATAAACAAGATTATGAAAACAATGTTAAATAAACGTAACAAATAATTGTACTGGATAACTGTTAACTATGATAATAGTTATTTAAATTAAACTTGAAGCATTAATGGCATAAACGACTTGGATTGGATACAAAAATAATCAAAGATTTTTTTTGGAAACTTGGTATATTTATTTGTCGTATTTATTTAACAATATTTATTTTTTTTTTCTTTTAATACATTCATATAAAATTCCTCTCAAAAAATCATCGAATAATTTTTTAATACCTGCAACAATAGAACATTAATTTCTGTATCAAATTTGGGAATAAAAATATAAAACGATACAAAGAAAAAAAAGAAAAAATCACGATCGTAACTTCCTGTTGATAATTTCAAAAATATTTTAACGTAGACGTTGAATCACATTACTCGAAAGTAAGAGACCTTCATTGAGAAAACTGTACGAGCATAGTTCATCCAAACACGTTCTTGACCGTGACTCGTTCGAAGGTAACACGAAGAGAAGAGAAGAGAAAAAAAAGAAAGAAAGAAAAAGAAACACAGAAAAAGAGCATGATTTCCTCATGCTATGTTCTTATGGTCGTTGACGTTGAAACAGTCTGACGAGTTGCAGAACTATCAGTGTTTTAATAGTGGGGATGTATAAAACGGTTAGAATCTACCGAGTCTTATTTACCTAGAACATATTAGAATGTTTAATAATCCTAGCAGCAACAGCCGAGGCAGGTGGTGGTGGTGGTCTGTGACCGACTTTTAAAGAAACCTTGGGGGGAGTTGGGCGGCATCTTCAGTTGGACATTGGCCTCCGTAAGATTAAGAGTCGAAGAAAAACGAGTCGAAAGGGTGCAAAGAGGATAGAAGCATTTTTTTTTTTTTCATATACGAGGAATTCTCCGTTTCAATCCAATCGAATCGTCGCCAATCTTTTTCACCAACAATTTGCTTCGTTGTTTTTTTTTTTTTTTCTAATAAGGATTAAAGGTAAGTCCCAACAAAATGATTTCATTATTTTCTAATCCAATCTCCGATATTATATCATCGATTGTTTCGAATTTATCCTCTAATTGTAAATAATCATTCTAAAAGTTTACTGTTACCTGATTTTTTATCCATTCAAATAAGTTCCCCATACAAAATCTTTGAGTATTTTCTTATACCATCCAAATTTGATTATGTCATTGGCATGGTTGTTCAGATCAAAATGATTCAAGTTTAATGTTTAAGTAATCGTTTATATATGAACATTTGTATGTTTACTTTGTTTGTGGTTTCCTGATCGTGTAAACTGTTATAAAATGATTGTCTTTTAACTCGCCATTTCCTATTTAAAAATATTTCGAAGTATTGTAACTTGTCAAATAGTTCCAGTCCGTGATCAATCAATCAAAACGGTTCTTTAAAGTACTCGGCAAGCATATTAAAATGTTCGCTTGGTAGCTGAGTAAACCAACCATATAAAGTTATAGCAATGAACGATTACCTTGCACTCGACACAGTAGTTGTACGATTTGTATGATGAGTTAACTTATCTCTTCATCATTGAGTTATTCGTCATCTTCTTCTCGTTTATGTGCACGAAAGATACTCCGCTTTGACCGTGACCGAGATTTAGGTCAAGCGGTCGCGGACAAGAAACTTCAAACTATCGTTGTGTGCGTGTGCGTAAATAATATTTCCTAAAAACCAGTTTATATTCCAACAGACTTCTTCCTTTTGACTCTATTTTCTTATTTTTTTTTATGATATTACGAAATTTAGCATACGCTCTTTTTCTAAACAACTATTCATTCATAATTAAACCAGAATTGTATAACGGGGTTTAGAAATGTTTAAAAATACTGATCCAATTAATGGAAGCTATTTTCACACACACACACACACACACACACATTAATTATATATATCATTTATAATAATTAAAAATTATTGAAAATCTCGATGCAAATATTAGCCACCTTTTTTTAACATAAAAATACATTAATTAAATTAATTGAATTGATTGAATTCATATGATTGCAGATAAATCGTAAAGATGCGTCTGTCATCGGTGGTGGAACTGTTGTTAATACTTTTAGTGATCGCGTTTGCTGCTTATGGAAGAGTAATCGGTAAGTAAATAGCAATAATAAACTCATTTTTAGGATCAACGTATAGAAAAATTGAAATATAATTTGATTATTGTACAGATTCAGGCCTGGTAGCAGTGAATCGAAGTATACGAGCCAACAATGTCCCGAAACAATCTATTCAGTTACCAACAATAGCCGAAACTACCGAAAATGTTAACAGATATTGTACATGCAGCAATCTCATTTGCAACTGTTGTCGAGATTTTCACATTCCGTTGGTGCAATTGAAAGGACCAGGTGAAACAATCAACCCGATTAGATTTACCAATCAGTCCATGTGTTTATTATCAATTAAAATAACAAACATATGACTTATTGGCTAACATATTTTTCTTTTAACGATGATTTTTCACTGAACAATTAAAATTCTGTTTCTAGGATGTGCTTCTTTACAGTATCTCCAAGATGACAATTTAGCGGTGCAATTGAGCTTCGGTGACAACATTCTTACTTCAACAATAGTAAACGGTGAATATTTTTTTAAATATAAAACATAAAATTGATGACAAAAATTGGATCGTTGGATCGACTGGACCAAATTTCAGGATCTTACGATTAACTTCCTCCCTATTGATTATTTTATTTCGAATGAAGGTGCTCAATCCTACATGTATAAACTATAATACATGAAATTTATGAACTAACGGTAACACGTATCGCCTATTGTCATTTATTTTCTATAAGGAAGGAAGCCATTGTCTCTGGACGCATCGGTAATCTTTACGTTCTGTCTATCATGTAACGAGTTAACTCAATCCCTGACGCAACGTTCCGTGACAAGAAAAGAAAAAAAAGAAAGAAAGAAAGAAAGAAAAACTAATTTCTTTTATAATTAGAGTAAACATATTAGAGACACCGTATGTCCATGATCGTCATGGACAGGTGTAAAGGTTTGTTAACGTAGGAAGTGTGTTAATTACACGGATACGAAATTTCGATTATTCTCGTAGATATTAAGGTGACCATGACTTTCACCAAGTGACCATAAACGGAGGATAATTATCGGAAGTAATACGTTCGCTCATATGTATTCCTATGACTAAATAAAATCAAATATTTGGATGTGACGTATAAGTTAAGAAATTATGCATAACGCGTAAAGTTTATAATTCGTGTCAAAACGGAGTATATGAAATTTATATTATTTATGTTAGATGTTTTATTGTTTTCTTTTTTAATGATTTTCTTTTTTTTCTTTTGTTTATAGGTAAAAATCCAAAACCTGTTTGCGTACCACTACCAGGTGGGTTCAGCAAATTTTGCGGAAGAATTTATTCCATCAAAAGGGACGTCAACAATCACTTCAAAGCTTGCCTCGGATTGGAACTCCAATCGGCAACCGAATTGGAAGCCAGCTTACGCGTCAGCTGTTTTAGGTGATTTATTAAAATACACAAACATTAACATTATTTAATCACTTTTCTGAACTTTGTCTTTCGTATGTTTTTGTTTGTTTTTTTTTTCTTATAGATTCGGTCCGGATGGATTAAAATTACGTCCAGCAGAGCCATTACCAGTCGTTGTAACCGAGCAAACTTCTGAAGAAGACGACGACGACGATCTGTTTGGTTTAGGTTCGGATGATGACGATGATGATGAAGAAGATGAAGATGACTCGGTTAGACCAAGTTTGAATGCAGTAACGGACAATGCATCAACCGACGTTGAATCAGCTGAGGAAGAAGACGAGGACGATGACGATGATGATGTCCTTGGATTTGGAGCATTGTTGGATATCATCACGGGTGATGATGAAACTACGAAAAAACCCAAGGTCTCTACTGCACCTCCACTTTTACAATTCACTATACCAATCTTAACGAGACCTACCACAGCAGCACCTGCAACTTTGTTAAACCAAGAACCTTCCAACAATCCAAATGATGCTTTGATTTTTCAAAGTTTGAATGAAAATCAAAACGTGGATGATACACAAAACTTGAACAGTATTGAGGAAGAAAGTAATACCGAAAGTAACGATGGTTTTACACAGGATTCTGATTTGTTGATAGATCAAACGACTCCCGAATCTTCTGGCAATAATCAAAACGAAGAAACGAAGATTACGAACAAATTGGTTAAACTTGAGAAGCCTTTAATTAGTCATAAAATAAAAAAAATCGGTACCAATCAAAATAAAAAACCTAGTATAACTGCGTCAAGTATAAACGCCATCAATGACGATACTAAAAAGAAACCATTGAAAAAACCGATCAAGGATGAGAATAATGAGGATGATCTTTTGGATGACGATGATGATGACCTTGTTGATTTGGACGATGACGACGATGATGATTTAGAAGATGACGAAGACGAAGAGGATGATGCTGATGCTGACAAACACGAAGAAGAAGAAGAAGAAGAAGAAGAAGAAGGAGAAGAGGAAGAAGAAGAAAACGAGGATGAAAAAAATGTGGATCTTGATGATTTGGATGACGACGATGACGAGGAAGAAGATGCAGTTTTAAGTGCACTCGTTCAGGATGATTATAAACATAAAGGAAAGAAAAATAAAGTCGTGACGAATCAACAACAATCGAGTCATCACGAAGATGATGATTATTCAATTGGTATCACTGATTTTCTTTCGAGGAAAAAACAAGATGGCCGTCAAAGTAGAATCATGAGGCTGTAAGATCAAAAAAATCATTTTGATCGACTCTAAGCGTTAATTATCGACAGTGACAAATATCTCGAAAAACGGAATAATTCATCCCGACAGGGACGTATACAATTTTTGATAGCCTAGGCATAAAATTATTATGAAATTTTCGAAGGAAAAAAAAATCAATTACGGTTAATCATATTTATACTCATAATTTTTCTTTTGACCATAGTTCAATTGTTCATTTTGATATTTATGGTGAAATTACGTTCTCGTATAGGCTACGCAAAGATAAAATTCATTGAGAGATACCATATCATCCACGACCTCTGCCATAATGCGGTGCTCGCATAGTTTCATATTATTTAAGACAAATCTTTATTTATTATCGTATATTTATTTATACGAATTTTATTTAATTAACTTATTGAACTTGTACTTAAGTACACATCGAATAAAGACTTACACACGTAAACAAAATATAAATAAAAAATTGTTTTACAGATGTTGAAAACTTATTTTCCTCGAATTGTTTTGTTCGAATTTAATTAGCAATAATTTATGGATAACATATTAATTATTGAAATTATTTTTGTAATTGAAAAAACATATAATTAAAAAGAAGTTTATACTGAATTGCATTAAATGTAAGACACAGAGAAGCACGTATATTTAAAAATACATGCCCACAGAAATAGAACATTATATGAATCGAGATGAAAGTATCGAGATCAAGACTACGGTAAAGCAAGTTTGGAGCTCGCCTTAAGCTTAACTTTCTATCGAAAGTTTATGCATAAATAATGAATTCAATGTCTTCGTGGTATGGTTTAAGGTAAAACCAATTTCAGTCTTGAATTGAAACCAAAACACGAAACATCTTAGCTCGTGAGTGAATCGAACGAAAAAATGACTCGACAATTGTTTACCTTGCTGATTTTAATTTCGACGATCGTGAATATTAGCTACAGTAAAAAACTCGTAAATATAGGTGAATTGAGATATCATTTTTTAAATTATTTTAAATAACCAGTAAAAAAATATTAACCAAACATAATTTCGATTTAAAAAATATCAATTTGTTACGTTAAATATATGTAGAATATATTTAAAAAAAATAGCATGGTAATTTAAAAAAAGTGTATTTTTAGATTTGACAGAGTACTTGTCATCCTATTATGATCCAACAACGGGAATAGAATTAAAAGGTGAACTGGAAGAAGTCGAAAGAAGTCCAAATCAAATGCCGAAGTTTGTTTTTCGCGGAATGCCTTGTTCGTGTATCAATATGACATGTGATTGCTGTACGGGTATTAATTTAACCGCAATTAATTTTAATCGACGTGCATGTACTAAGTTCACTTACGATCCTCAAGAGTTTGCTATCAAAATGGCTTTCAGCATGAACGAAAAAGAAATATTTTCTAGTTCCTTGTCTGGTGAGTTTATTAATGAACGATCAACGAAATAATGAATAAGTTATTTCATCCTGATTTCTTTTTCACAGCAAAAAATCCTCCACCAATTTGCATTCCATTCGCTTTTTTGCCTGCAATAACGTTCTGTGCTCGATTATACGACATTCACACACCTGGCAAGAATCTTCATGCTTGTTTGGATCTTGAAACACGCGTGGTGAACGCACCGATTTTAATTCTACATTTCAATTGCATGAAAATCGGTATGGATGGTATATCCTTGCTAAAACCAAATGAAAATATAACCAATTATTTTCCATCGATTAATTCGAACGATCCAGAAATTTACGACGAAGTTAATTTCGAACAATCCGATCTCGAAATTACGAACAACGTTGGTACAACTCTTAGTCCTGAAGACGAAGCTGCGATTGGACAATTAAAATATTGATTTAGTTTATAAATTATTATTATTATTATATTTTGTACAGTAATATAAGTAAAGTTACGTGTATTTATTAATTTAAAATATAATATATACAATTTTAATTTATGATTTACGACAGGGCTTCTCAAACGTTTCCACTTGGCGACCCCCTTTTAACCGAGAAAATATTTTCTTCTCTTTCACTATCATAATTGTACCGAAGTAATATACTTATAGTGTTGACAAACTGGTTTCTAATTAATTTTTAATTACGCAACCCTATACAGGGTCACGACCAAGGCTTTGCAAATTACAGATTTATGTGAATGTATTCTTCTTTAATTCAATATTTGATTATTTAAAATGACAGTATTATAAATTGTCAGCATTATAATCGAATCTTCGTGTCACGTTTTCACACATACATACGTGCATACGTTTACATATTTTACAATCATTACGAGGAACCATGAAAATGCAAAATATGGGTGAACAACTCGAAGTAAACCTAAATTTCTCCATTAAACGAGGTCATAATACACATGTCGTGTCCGTTAACTTAACCAGTCGTGTTTCGATCGTTTAACAGACAAGTATTACTATTTCCTAATGAAGAAAATGTGAATTCGATTTGAAATCAAAATGAAAATTCAAGGAATACTGATCATTCAAACGATATTATTATTTGTGATATTTTCATTATCAGAATCTAAAGCGAACGTTGTAGATCATGAAAAAAATACAAAAATCATTCTAAAAAATGAGGAATCAATGAAAAAATTAGAAACGTTGTTAAGACAAGCAGTGAACGCGAGTGCAAACTCTACAGAAATAACAGCAACTAAACAGGGACCATGCCAATGTGCTTTAGGTGTTTGTAGTTGTTGTTCGAGAATACTTTTCTCAACGTGGAAACAAAAAGCATGTGTTAACGTAAGTTATGATCCAGATGAGTTCAGTTTTACTGCAAAGGTGATGATGAACGATAGGGTTCTTTACACTAGAACGGTTTCTGGTAAATTTATTTTTCAATTCTCATGGAGTTTAACAGTGAATTTATCATTTTTCTGATTATTTACATTTTTTGTTCTTTTAGGAAAAAATCCTAGACCAATTTGCGTACCAGTGCCAAGGATTCCGTACATTAGAGCTTGCGTGAGATTTTATAATATTTTTTTCCAAGGTAGAAACATTCATCTCTGTGTCAACATGGAAGGCAAATTTAGTGATACGACATTGTTCAAAGTATGGCATTTTTATGATTCTATTTTTACTTTACTAATATTTTTATACATAAGAAAAAATATGATTATTATTATTTTTATTAGAATGTTACATTATAATTTTTTAAATGAATAAATGATAATGAATGAAGATTATATTCACGTATTCAGGTTGGATTAGATTGCATCCGATTTGGTTCGAATGGTTTGGCTTACCTAAAACCGGAAGATGGGGGTGGATTAGGTCAAGTCGAAATCTTTCCAGGCGACGACAACAATGATTATAATGATGATTACAATGATCAAGATAACGACGATGACGATGACGACGACGACGACGACGACGACAGCGATGATGATGATGATGATGATGATGACATATTAGATTTATAATAATAAATTTTATTATTTATATATACTTTATAGATTAAAACAATAATAATTTACTGTATAATTTAAAAAAAAAAAAAAAAAACATTTATCGTATTCTTCTTATTGTTTTTTAATATGTACTTTAATTACCTTTCTTCAATTTTAAAATTAGATCAAAATCATTGATGACTTTTTATTTTGCAGTAACGAAAAGGAAATATAAGACTCAGTTGAACTATTACTATATAAAAACGTTGTCAGATGAAAGATAATTGTGACAAAAAAACACGTTGATTTCCTCTAAAATTCAATGAACTTTTATATCGGTCATCATAGTAATTATTATTTCCGGTAGAAAAGGTATCGAATAGATGCAAAACCAGAGAATTCAGCTTATTTTATTGTAGATCCTTCAAAGTATAGAAACATTGGCGCATTTACCTCTCCAAACTGTTTGTTTTATTTGTAGAATATTTTTGATATTGATTAATCCTGTGTGAAGAAATGCATTTACGACTTTGTAAAATAATCATCATATTGTTGTGCATTTTTTCTGAATTTAATATAAATAAAAAGCAAAGTTAGTTCATTGAAAAATTACTTTTATATATTTTAATTTGTTAATTTTTATATTTATAAAAGAAAAAGAATCAAAATTAAACATATATTTAAATAATCAAATACACTATAGGGTTTCCTACATCAAGAGCATTTTTGATTTTCAAAACGAATTCATTAAGTGGAAGATCATGTACTGGCTCATCATCTTATTCATATTCTTGCTGCGAAAATGTTATCATCATCTACACTAAAGTGACAAAACAACGTGAGTTCAGAAAAAAATATTCTATGCGTCTATGATTTTTTAATGATTCATTTTATTTGATTTTTGTTTAGTTTGTGTGAATTTTAGTTATGAAACAAATGGATTGAATGTAAATATCACACTGAACACAATAGTCTTAACTAATCGAACTGTTACAGGTAAGATTTTCATGAAATATCCTTTAACCATGTGAAATTTGATTTCTATATTTAATTAATCTTATCAATAGAGTATAAACCATTTAAAATATGCAGCCAAGTACCTGGTAGTTTATTTTCACGTGTTTGCGCTAACATTTTAGAATTGAATCGATTTCCCAGGTAAATAATACTCTTTTAAATCATAATCTAATAATTTTTACTTTATAATTAACTATTTTTTGTAGATCGATCACTGCTTGCCTTCGGACAGATATAACTACTAAATATAAATTATGGGAATTGACTTACAATTGTGTCAGCATATCAACAGAGTTGCCAATGATGACTTCTACACAATCATCACAAATACCTGCAGGACAAATGCCAGCAATGCCAGCAATGACCACAGGACAAATGCCAGGAATGACTCCAGAACAAATGATGGGAATGCCAGGGATGTCAGGAACGACTCCAGGACAAATGCCAGGGATGTCAGGAATGAATCCAGGACAAATGCCAGGGATATCAGGAATGACTCCAGGACAAATGCCAGGGATGTCAGCAATGACTCCAGCACAAATGCCAGCAATGCAAGCAATGACTCCAGGACAAATGCCAGCAATGCCAGGAATGAACGCAGGACAAATGCCAG